AGGTGAGAACTCAGATCTACATAAAGAAAGAAAGAACACTGAAGAAATAAGTGAAAGTAAAATGAAAATTTTTATTTTCTTATTCTTAATTGATTTAACAAATAAGTTTATTCAAATGATGGCAACAATGTAATAATTATATATGTTTATGTATATCTGTGTGTGTGTGTATACATGCCATGCTTATGAATGCTTCAGGTGAAATAAATGACAGTAATGATAGAAATGAATTAGTATTATTATATTATTTTAAGAAGTAGAATGTTACTTGAAAGTGAACCTGGATTAATTGTAAAGCTACATTGCAAACTCAAGGGAAACCACTAAAGAAAGTAAAAAAAAGAAGTAAAATTTATAAGCTAAGAAGGGAAAAAAATGACATCACATAAAATGCTCAATTAAAACTTCAGAAGGTAGAAAAAGAGTGGATAACAAAAACAGGAAGAAAGTTCAAAGGTAATAAATAGAAAACAGTAACTAATATTGTAGATATTAATCCAACTACATAACAATTTTGAGTGTCAATGGTCTAAATGTATCAATTAAAAAAGATTTTCAGAGTGAATCAAAAAAATGACCCAAATATATGTTGTTTACATGAAATCCATTTTAAATATAAAGACACATATAGATTAAAAGTAAATGGATGAAAAAAATGGATGGGATCAAAATACCACGTGAACACTAATCAAAAGAAAGCAGGAAGAGCTATGCTAACTCTAGACAGAGCAGAGCAGACCTAAAAGTTATTAGCGATAAAGAAGGGCATTATATAATGATAAAGGGGTCAATTCTCCAAGACACAATTCTTAATGTGTATGCACCTAATAATATAGGGTTAAACTACATGAAGAAAAAACTGAGAGAACTGCAAGAAGAAGCAGATAGTTGGAGGCTTAACATTCCTCAATTAGAAATGATTAGGTCCAGCAGGCAGAAAATCAAGAAAATCAGAAAGCAGTCTATATGATACCACACACCCAGCATAAAACCATCATACAAAACACCAACAAAAGCAAAATGCAACACAAAACACTTGCACAATGTTTATTTCTCTGTAAGGCTATAGACCAAAGTAATCACAGTGGTTACCTGTGAGAAGGTAACTGAGAAGATAGGAAAGGAGAGCAGAGGTGCTCAAGGAGCTTTCCTTTATTATATTGTTGAATGTTTTATAATGAAAATATATTCACATCTTACTTATATGCTCAAATTATTTTTTTTAAAAAGGGGCTATACAAATAAGCAAGGGAATAAATAGGTGAACTTGTGGGGAGAGAGAGGAGAAATTAAAAAAATCTTTTCTATATAATATACTGTCTTGCCAAAACCCTTTTTCCAGTCTGTTGATTAATACCCACATATCTCTCTCCTCAAGCTCCCAATTATAATATATTCTTCCCTATCACTCATGTATGTCATAAGTGAAAGTACCTATATGTTCACAGACTAAGTACGCAAAAACATATTAAGCATGTTTCCTAAATGAGAAATGGAATACACCCATCTTATATTTAAGGAGAGACCTTCTTTCAAAACTTTTTCCTTCTTTGGGATAAGGAGGAATGAAAATATGCAGCAAATTTATATGTAAATACAGAAGTTAAAGTTCAATGGGACCTTAAGAAAAATGGGGTTTCATTTTAGGTTATAGTGAACTGATATAGAAGTTTGTCTGATGAATTGTAAAACATCTTCAGATATTGGCTTACTTTGAAGTATCTTATCAGGGGCTCTGTTAGGTCATATATAAAATGTATCCTAAACACCCCTTGTTCTCAAACCTCAGTCTAATCTGGTGGTAGTGGTAATATATGAGGCCTGTCTAGAAAAAGTACAGCCATTATTAATATAACAAGAATAGTTTGCACGACATTGATGCAACCTGGCAGCCAAAGCGAGTGGATTGGAATGCACATGGGTGAACAAGGACAACTTCACTGTACTAGTTCAGTGGGGGCAGTAAATGCTATTGAGCCTGTGTACTGTGTGGCTGCCACATTCAAAATGACTAGGCGAGTAGAACAATGGATCTGCATCAAATTTTGCATTAGGTTTGAACATTCCTCCCCAGAAACTATTCCCATGATTCAGAAAGCAACAGCTATGGGCAACTGGTGATTGGCAGCTTCATCATGAAAATGTTACTGTTCATGCATCACATCTTGTTCAGAGTTTTTTGGCAAAGCATTGAATCACCCAGGTGACTCAGCCCCACTACAGCCCAGATTTGGCACACAGTAACTTCTGGCTTTTCCCAAAATTGAAATCACCTTTGAAAGGGCAGCGATTTCAGACTGTCAGTGAGATTGAGAAAAGTACAATGGGGTAGCTGACAAAGAGTGGGAGGACTGCATGAGGTCTCAGGGTACCTACTTTGAAGGGGACTGAGTCATCATTGTCCTATGTACAATATTTCTTGCATCTCGTATCTTCTTCTATAAAGGTCTCTAGTTTTCATATTACATGGCTGGATACCTTCTGGACAGACCTTGTATAAACAGTAACAGAGCTATACTAACAACAGGGGAAAACTATAAGGTTTTGCTACTCAAAGCTGCAGACTGGCAGCATTTGCATTACCCAGGGTCAACTGAGATCCCAGCCCTAACCCTCTGAAGCTGCATTTTAACATGATCTTTAGGTGACCAGGATGCTCATCAAGATTTGAGAAGTAATGAACTGTGGGATTACAGAAGGAGCACTACTGGTCCACTGGGAAGTGGTCAGAGGTCTGCAGACAATAAGGTTATAGGAGCATTTCAGGCTGAGAAAGGAGCAGGCTCATGATTATGGCAGTCAGAGTAAGAAGGGTTCTGGAAGAAAACTGGGCACTTTGGAAGATGTAGGAGACAAGGCAATTAAGGTAGGCTGAGGCAAGAGGCAAAAAGGCCAGGCTGACCTGCTGAGAATTCTGGTGGAAGCCATAGAAAAATTTAAACAGCAATGGGACAGGATCAGATTTTTATGTTTGGACATCACTCTGGTGGCAGAGTAGAGGACAAAATGAAGAAGAGAGGCTGGAACAGGCAGACTGTATACTTAAGTGAGGACAATTCAGTTTGGTACTACAGAGGAGGTCTTGGGGACTTAGAGGTAGAGATGGGTATTGAGTCCCAACCAGAGAGAGAAACAGTGCTCTAGCTGCAGGTAGACACAGGAAGTTTCTTTCTTCTCATAGTACCCAACCAGCGGATTAGCAACACTTGGAATTGTTAGAAATGCAAATTCTTTGGTCCTACCCCAGATATACTGTGTCAGAAAATCTGGTGGGTGGGGCACACAAATCCAATTTTGAGAAAGCTCTCTCTTTTTTTTTTTTAGATTTTATTTATTTATTTATTTTTAGAGAGGGAAGGGAGGGAGAAAGAGAGAGAAACATCAATGTGCGGTTGCTGGGGGCTGTGGCCTGCAACCCAGGCATGTGCCCTGACTGGGAATCAAACCTGCGATGATTTGGTTCACAGCCCGTGCTCAATCCACAGAGCTACGCCAGCCAGGGCGAGTAACTCTTTTTAAAGTGAGAACCACTGCTCAGCCTGTCAAAAATCCTGTAACATAGAATTGCTTAGAATTAAGGCTTAGAATTGTCACAACTTGTTTCCCTAAAAAGAAAAGAAACAAAAAGAATGTGATGAATACAGTCAAGCCAATGTCCTCAAACTTAATTTGTTCAATTTGCAATTGAAGAGGCAGAAAAAGAGGGAAGGGAGGATATTCCTACTTTACTAATCAAGGAAATGCTTGGTAAATGGCAAGAAATGCAAAGTTTTATTGAGAAATATCACCCTGACAAAGTAGCAAACCCTGCAATAAACTTGTACAATGACAAAGCAGTGTTTCACTTCAGGCAAGTGTAAAACACAGGCAAAACCAAAAATCATTCAATAGGTTTTTAGTGAGCAGAGGCCAGGTAAGCCTAAAGCAAGATCTAGTAATAGAACAAAGAGACAAAAGGGAAAAAACACCCAGACCAGCTACCTGACATTTTTATGGAAGGGGACTCCCCTTCCAAACAATAACATCCCTCCATCCCTCCTCTCCATATTCAGTCATCAATAGCTCTCAACATTAAAGATAAATCTAGTGCATACAAAAATTTTCATTTTTTACTGTACATTTCACTTTATTTTTGTTGAATTTTCATTTATACTTGAAGTCCTTTTTGTTTTAAAGTGTTAATAGATTCAACAGTGCATTAGCCATGTACTGTATATAAAAAAGGTTAAAACAGGCAATTATTTGGAGGTCCACAACAAATTAATTCAATTTACATTATTTTTAATGGGAAAAATGATTTGGTTTTCAAACTAATTGCTTTTCGAATAGCTTTCTGGAACAAATGAAGTTAAGAGAACTGAGGTTCCACAGCTACATTGGTCAGAACAAAAGTCACAAACAATTTAGATTTTAGATAGTGCCCAGAAAAAAAAAAAAGAAGAAAGAAAACACAATGACGATCCTGTCCAAAAAACCTTACATTTGGAGAATTAAAATAGTTTTGGTAGCAGTCATGATGTTCTCAGTAGCTTAATTAAATAAAACCTAAAATAAAATTAAGCAGGGATCCAAGGTGGGAGCTACACTAACGTCCTCCCGATACATAATGGAATTACAACTAAATTATAGAAGAATCATCCTGAATAACCAAATGAACACTAGCTGGAGAGAAGCCTTATAACCAAGGACTTACAGGAGAACCCATATTGAAACTGGTAGAAAGTGCAGAAATGTGAGAGGGCTGGCTGGGCTACAATTGGTGGCAGTTTAAGTTCTGGAGGTATATCTCAGCTGTGGGGGTGGGGGGTTCCCTCTGAGAACTGTGAGGTCTAAACCCCAAGACAGACTTCCCAGCCTATAGCATTACAACTGGAAAAAGTACCTATGTAACATCCAGCTGTGAAAAGCAGTGGGGTTTCCCTCTGCCAGGGAAAGACAGCTAGAAACACAGTCACCCTCTTAAAGGGCCAACCTACAAAGTTTCATTTGTAGCCACTTACCGTGGGCTCCAGTGAAAAGAGGGCAGAGCAAACTAAAGCAGCATAAGGAGAGTCTGCGGTTGGTGGACTGGTTGGTGGACTGGAGAGAGAGCTGAAGGGTCAGTTGCCAAATCACTGTGCTCAGTCATCCCCCTATATTGCAGAAGCTGTCTTTCTGGGGCAGATCGCTCCTCTCCAGATGGCATCAGCTTAGCCTCAGGAATCCCTCTTGCCCCACCGTATGGAACTTCAGCCCTGCTGAGATGGACAGCCAGAGGCTCTGTCAGTGACAAGGACTAACAGGCAGCTTGCAGGCAGAAGCTGACTGTGGGTACTTTGAGACTTTTGCTGACATACTCTGGGAATAGTGCAGGTAAAAGCTGGTCTTGGTGCATAGCTTGGTCCTTTCCCCAAGCACCCAGCCCAGCAGAGGGAACCTATGGATCACTGATCGATCCAAACACATTGCCCATGGACAGTCATAGGTGGTGACTGACATAGGCCTGTACCAGAGTCTTGCAAGTCTACCTAATACCAACAAACAAACAAACACAAAGAGGCAGCCAAAATGGGAAGACAAAGAAACAGGCCCCAAATGCAAGAACAAGAGGATGCTCCAGAAGAGCTAATAAAATGGAGCCACACAATTTCTCAGATATCGAGTTAAAAGTAATGATTACAAAAATGTTCAACAGCATTAAAGAGGACATATAGATGATAAAAAAGGACCAGACAGAAATTAAAAATACCTGAAATAAGTAATACCCTGGAAAGAATAAGCAGTAGGTTAGATGATACAGAGGATTGAATCAGCAATTTGGCAGACAAGGTAGAAAACAACACCCAGTCAGAGCACCAAAAAGAGAAAAGATTATTAAAAAATGAGGATAGTATAGGGACCATTGGGACAACATGCAGTGTAACACCATCCATATCATAGGGGTAACTAGAAGGTAAAGCTAGAGCACAAGGTATTGAGAACCTATTTGAAAAAATGATGACCAAAAATTTCCCTAATCTGGTAAAGGAAAAAGACACACAAGTCCAGGAAGAACAGAGAGTCCCAAACAAGATGGACTCGAAGAGGCCTACAACAATACACATCATAATAAAAATGGCAGAGTTTAAATACAAGAAGAGAACCTTAAAACCACAAAGAGGAAGACAGTTACCTACAAGGGAGTTCCCATAAGAGTGTCATCTGCTTTCTCACAGAAACATTTCAAGCCATAAGGGATTGGCAAAAATATTAAAAATGATGAAAAGTAAGGACCTACAACTAATGCTACTTTACCCAGTAAGCTTATCATTTAAAATTGAAGGAGAAATAAAGAGCTTCCCAGACAAGAAAAAGCTAAAGGAGTTTGTTAACACCAAACTAGTACTGTAACAAATGGTAAAGGGCTTGCTTGAAGAAGAAAACATAGGAACATAGTTAAAAAATAAAATGGCAATAAATACATATCTATCAATAACCACTTAAAAGTAAATGGCTTAATCAGGGGTGTCGAACCTTTTGGAGTCTCTGCACCACACTGGAAGGAGAGTTGTTTTGGGCTACACATTAGGGACATTGTGACATTATAATCACAAAAAAATCTAATAATGTTTTCAGTAAACTTATAATTTTGTGTTGGGCTGCATTCATAGCCATCCTGGGCTGCATGAGGCCCATGGGTTGCAAGTTGGACACCCCTGGTTAAATGATCCAATCAAAGGACATAGGGTAGCTGAATGGGTAAGAAAACAAGACATATATATGCTGTCCCCAAGAGACTCACCTCAGAACTAAAAATACACAAAGACTAAAAGTAAGAGGATGGAAAAAAATATTTAATGCAAATGTAAAGGAAAAAAAAAGCTGGGGTAGCAGTACTTATATCTGACAAAATAGACTTTAAAACCAAGGCTATAGTAAGAGACAAAGAAGGATACTAGATAGAGATAACAATCCAAAAGAGGATATAATCCTAGTAAACATTTATGCTCCCAACATAGGAGCACCTAAATATGTAAAGCATATCTTGATAAGCAAAAAGGGAGATATTGACGGAAATAGTCATAGTAGGGAACTGTAAACCCTCTTGATATCAATGGATAGATCTTCCAGACAAAATAAACAAGGATTCAGCAGCCTTAAATGACACACTGAATCAAAAGGATTTAATTGATATCTACAGAGCATTTCACCCCAAAGAAGTAGAATATACATACTTTTCAAGTACACAAGGAATGTTTTCTAGGATAGACCACATCTTAGTACACAAAATAAGTCAATAAATTTAAGAAGACTGAAATTATATCAAGCATCTTCTCTGACCACAATGCTATGAACTAGAAATCAATCACAAGAAAAACACTGAAAATACACAAAAGACATGGACACTAAATAACATTTTCAAAACAATGAATAGGTTATTAATGAGATCAAGGAATAAATCAAAAGTTACCTTGAAACATGTGAAAATGTGAACATAAGAACCTAAATTTTATGGGACACAGCAAAAGCACTCATAAGAGGGAAATTCATAGCATTACAAGCCTACCTCAAGAATTGAGGGAAAAACTCAAACAATCTAACTTTATACTTGAAGAAACAACAAAAAAAATAAACACAACAATAAACAAAACTGAAAGTGAACGAAGGAAATAAAGACCAGAGCAGAAATAAATGAAAGAGTGTCAAAAAAATAAGAAAGATCAATGAAACCAACAGCTAGTTCTTTGCAGAGAAAAACAAGACTGAAAAATATTTAACCAGGCTCATCAATGGGAAAAAAAGAAAGAATGGATCTAAATAAATACAATCAGAAATAAAAGAGGAGAAGTAACAACTGACACCAAAGAAAAAGGATTGTAATGAAACATTATGAACAACTATATGACAACAAATTCAATGATCTAGAAGAAATGGTTAAATTCCTAGAAACAAACAATCTTGCAAAACTGAATCAGGAAGAATCACAGAATCCGAATAGACAGATTTCACCTAGTGAAATTGAAGCAGTAATCAAAAAACACCCAACAAACAAATGCCCTGGACTGGATGGCTTTACAGGTGAATTTTATCAAACATTCACAGAAGATCTAACATCTCTCCTTCTCACAGTACTCCAAAAAATTCAAGAAGAGGGAAGACTCCCAATCTCATTTTATGAGGCCAGCATTATCCTAATTCCAAAACTAAATAAAGACACTACAAAGAAAAAAATCATAGGCCAATATCCCTAACAAACATAGATGCTAAAATCTTCAACAAAATATTAGCAAACCAAATATAGCAATATATCAAAAATATCATACACTATGATTAAATGGGATCTATTCTGGGGATGCAAAGTTGGTACAATGTCCACAAATCAATAAACATACTACATAAACAAAATAAAGGATAAAAACCACATGATTGTATCAATAGATGCAGAATAAAACATTTGATAAACCCCAGCACCCATTTTTGATAAAAATGCTCAGCAAAATGGTAATAGAGGGAAAATACATCAATGTAATAAAGGCCATGTATGACAAACCCAGAGGCAACATCATATTCAATGAGCAAAAACTGTAAGTGTTCCCCTTAAGATCAGGAACAAGATACGGATGTCCGAATTTGCTTGTCTTATTCAACATAGCTCTGGAAGTCCTAGCCATTGCAATCAGACAAAAAGAAATAAAAGACATCCAAATTGGAAAGGAGGAAGTAAAACTCTCATTTTATATGCAGATGACATGATACTGTATATCGAGGACCCTAAAGATTCTATCAGAGAACTACTAGAATTGATAAATGAATTCATTAAAGTAGCAAGATACAAAATTAATATCCAAAAATCAGTTGCATTTTTATATGTCAATAATGAACTATCAGAAAGTGAAATTAAGAAAACAACCCCATTCACAATTGCTTCAAAAAGAATAAAATAGCTAGGAATAAATTTAACCAAGAATGTTAAGATTTGTACTTGGAAAATGATAAGACACTGAACAAAGAAATTGAAGACACAAATAATTGGAAGCATATACTGTGTCCATGGCTAGGAGGAATTAACATTATTAAAATGTCCATACTACCCAAAGCAGTCTACAGATTCAATGCAATTACTATTAAGGTGCCAATGATGAACTTCAGAGAACTAGAACAAATATTCCAAAAATTTACATGGAACCACAAAAGACCAGGGAGTGATCTTGAGAGTGTACAGCAAAGTTGAAGGAATCACACTACCTAATATCAAACTATATTGCAATGCCATAGTAATCAAAACAGCATGGTACTGGCATAAAAACAGACATATAGGTCAAAGGAACAGAATAGAGAGCCAGAAATAAACCCATGTCTTTATAGTCAATTATAATTTCACAAAGGAAGCAAAAACATACAATAAGCTAAATATAGTTTATTCAATAAATGGTGTTGGAAAAAATGGGACATATTCATGCAACAAACAATGAAACTAGAGTATCTTCTGATACTGCACACAAGAATACGCTCAAAATGGATTAAAGACTTAAATATTAGACTTGAAACCATAAAAATCCTACTAAAACACATGCAGTAAAATCTCAGACATTGCTTGTAGCAATATTTTTTCTGACATGTCTCCTCAGGCAAGGGACACAAAGCCCTGAATAAACTGGACTACATCAAACTAAAAAGTTTTCCACAGCAAAGGAAATCAACAAAATGAATGGGCAACCCACCGAATGGGAGAACATATTCACCACTATATCTGACAAGGGATTCATATCTAAAATTTATAAAGAACTTTAAACCCAACACTAAAAAACCAAACAACCCAAATGAAAAAATGGACTAAAGACCTGAATACACACTTCTCCAAAGAGGGCATACAGATGGCCAAGACATTTGAAAAGATGTTCGATGTCACCAATCATCAAGGAAATGCAGATTAAAATCACAATGAGATATCACCTCACACCTGTCAGAACAGCTCTCAAAAAAAAAAAAAATCAACAAGTGTTAGTGAAGATGTGGAGAAAAGGGAACACTCCTGCACCATATGGATTTACCTCAAAAAATGAGGAATGGGCCCTGGCTGGTGTGGCTCAGTGGACTGAGCGCCCAGCTGCAAACCAAAGGCTTACAAGTTTGATTCCCAGTCAGGGCACATGCCTGGGTTGCGGGCCAGGTCCCCAATGGGGGCCACACGAGAGGCAACCACACATTGATTTTTCTCTTTCTCCTTCCCTTCCCTTGTCTAAAAATAAATAAATAAAATCTTTTAAAAAGTGAGAAATGGCCCTGGCTGGCATAGCTCAGTGGATTGAGCGCGGGCTGGGAACCAAAGTGTCCCAGGTTCGATTCCCAGCCAGGGTACATTCCTGGGTTGCAGGCCATAACCCCCAGCAATCGCACATTGATATTTCTCTCTCTCTGTCTCCCTCCTTTTCCTCTCTAAAAATAAATAAAATATTTTTAAAAAATGAGAAATGGATCTGCCTTATGACCCAGTGATTCCACTTTGGGGAATTAATCTTAACAAACCCTAAACACTAATTCAAAAGAATATATGGTACCTTAAGTTCACTGCAGCAATATTGACAATAGCCAAGATTTGAAAACAACCAAGTGGCCATCAATAGATGCCTTACGGGAGAAAAAAAAAACACACACACAAAAACCCTATTACACATTTACAGAATGGATGGCTACTCGAAGTAAAAAGGAAGAAAATCTGCATGGATGGACCTGGAGAACATTATGCTAAGTGAAATAAGCCAGTCAGAGAAAGACCAATACCATATGATTTCACCCATATGTGGAATCTAACAAACGAACTGAATAAGCCAAATGTAGACACACTCCTAGATAAAGAGCAGGCTGATAGCTTTGGGGGTGGGATCAGGGGGTCGGGGATGGAGAAATCCAGCAAAAAAGAAAAAAAGAGCTCATGGTAGGTGCAACAGTGTGGTGATTGCAGGGCCAGGGTTGAAGGTGGAAAAGGTACAGGGGTGATAAATGGTACTGGAAACATACAATAAAAAAAACAAAATACAATTACACAACAGATAAAATTAAGTAATCATCCCAGTTGTAAATTCTTTCTATTCCCTCTATCGCCACAAAAACCACCTCAGGAAAAACGCTGGGATACTTTTTGGTCCTTTGAAAACTGTGTTTCTGATGCAACCGCCCATTAAAAAAACACAATCCTAAATTTAAAACCTAAAAAACGGAGCAGCAGAGCTGACGCAGTCATCTCAAGAGAAGTGGGCCGTTTCCCAGCCACACCCTTGCGGACCGCAGGGCCTCCTTCCTCAGGCTGTTCCCAAAGATAAATAAATCTCTCCTTGTTTTTTCCAGACCTGAAATTAGCGATGACTCAGAGCACTCGGTATGGCCTCAGTCGTCTCGGGAAGGAGGAGAATGTGCAGATTTCTTCCTTCAGGCAAAGGCCCGACTTGCTGGGCAGGACCAATCAGGGGAGGGTGGCGAGAATCGCACCAAAGTAGGTATAAAAATGTGGGATCGCGTTCCCTTACCGTCTGCAACTGTACTCCCGCGGGTCTTGTTTTCAACTCCCTCCCCCGAGGCCCCGCCCGCCCTCTGACCCCTCCCTCTTCTTCCCCCGCCCTCTCCAGGCCCCGCCCCTTAGCGGTGGCGCACACCTGGCCAGGTAGCTATTTCCTTGTAAGGCCAAGGGATTCGCAGTGGGCGTGGCGCCACATGGCCCCTAATTGTTGGGAGCTGCGTCAACCGCCGTGCGTTTTACTTTGCCCGCCCCTCGCCAGCAGGTGCCAGTCCAAACTCCGCCTCCTATACGTTAGTAGAAGACAGAGGAAAGACCCACCCCTCCCTCCCATTGGACCCGAACTAGTGAGAGAGAATCCCAATTTCCAGAAGGTTGGGAAATCGTCCCGCCCACGGGTTGTTCGGACGGCCGCCTGGGCGGGGCGTTACTAGACCAATCGGTTGCGGAGCTACGGCGGTTGGCGCGTGACGTGCGCAATGTCGTGTTTGGGCAGGAGGCGCGCGTCCGCGCACCCGTCTCTCGGTAGGCTCGCGCCCTGCGTAGTCTTCTCGGTTTGTTGCTCTGTCTAGCTTCCCTGAGGAGGACGTTCAGCAGACTCAGCATCCGCCGACTTATTCCCCCGCGTCCGTGCTACCGCCGCGGCGAAGATGGTGAGTGGGGGGAAGATCGAGGAGGGAGCTGGTCTGAGGGGCGAGCGCTATCTCCCCGTCCAGGGGTGACCCAGTCCCTGCTGCTTTCTCCCGACCGGAGGGGGTTTAGGGTGTCTGCTGCCCGCTGGAGTCCTTGTTTTGGAGCGGCTCCCCCAGCCGCTACGTTGGTCGCAGCAGCAGTTCGACTGCCGCGTCGCCTCAGTGGTTCCTCCCGCCCGGGCCGTGGTACTACCAGCCGGGTTTGAGCCCCTCCCCCCCCCGGTAAAATCAGGGTGGGGGGCATCTGAATTCCTTGTGGGCCTTGCTGGGGCTTGTTGCCCCTAAAGCGCGGCATAGAGGAGGCCAGTGACTCGTGCGAATTTCGCTTGAGAGGTCTGTCCATCTCGATGAGGAAAATAAGGCCTTTATTGAACAACCCTAGAGCGCGGAATGATCACTACGAGCCTGACCCTGGCATGATTAAGAACGGGTGGCCTTGCAGCCGCTTTGTTGTCGTATCTGGCAATCAGCTTCCAGCAGCACTCTCATCGTGCTTGTCAAGCTTGGCAGTGTCTCCTTAACCCTCGCCTCCCCAATCTCTCATATGTGGTTATAAATTTTAACTGTAAACAGTTTGGCTGTGCCAGAACTTAGCATGCAAGGTGTGGGCACGATGCTGGGATGCTAATAAAAACAAACGAAAAAACTTATAAAAAGTCCGTTAAATTATCCAGGTCTCTAAATAGTAAACGGAAGCTCATATATGCTAGGTGATGGATACTTTGCTTAACTTACATATTTTTTCCTCTATGCTGTAATTCCAGTTTGCTGTAAAACAGTATTAACGGGACAATCAAGTAGAACATTTGCACACGCTATTACCATTTTTGGTCAATGATTTGCAGGCAAAAGCTTACCAGACTTTGCTATAAATATTACACTGTTTTTACATCTGTCTGCCTGGAAGCAGTTGGTACCAGCTTATCTGCATACACAAATGTTCTCCCTGAATAACAATTTTGGTTTTTCTTACGGTATTGCAGACTGTCTCATTAGTGGAAGAAAATGAGGTTGATCATTTTCTGAATGATTGGGGATATGTAATTGAAATTTGATATTCAGTTTCTGGTTCTTATTTGGTTTAATTCTGTAAGCTACAAAGAGGATCAGCACTTTAAGACTTTTTAACCTGTTTAAGATTATATATATATATATATTACTTTATACTAAAAGACTTTTAATCTAAGAGTGTTGAGTTCTAATAAATGTAAGGCCATCAGCTCTGATGAAAGTACTTTGGAACCTGCTTTAGGGTCCTCTGATTTGACACTCTTTTTCTTTTTTTGTGGGGGGGGTCGGGTTTTGCTAGACTGCAAACTTTATCTTCTGTTTGAAAATAGGACCAAGAATTTTAACTTCAGTGAAATGCTTAAACTTTAGCTAAAGCTTTATTTCCTTATTCCTATAATTCAAACAAAATGAAGAATCTTATTTACTGGTTCTTGGGGGAGGAGGAGAAATAAAAATCATAATGGGGGATTCCAAATACATTTCAGACTTGGTTTAGAGAGGTCAATAAGACCTTATAAGCTAGTCTTTTTTGGATGTTTGCAAAGAAAGTTCAAAATATAGACTGACCATTTCTAAGGTTACTCTTGTATTTAGCCTCATGAGAACAGGGCATTTTATTCAGGCCAGCTATTAGAGAATATTGTGGAGATGGAAAGTTACTTTATTATACCAGATTTAAGCATTTTACTTATGTATTTGGAACTGTTTAGATCTGCTGGTTAGATGCTTGGTTCCGTTTTTTTTTTAAAAATTAGGTTAAATTTTAACTGCTGATTGTTTTGTTCTACATTAACAAAATCACTTCCCATTCCTCAGCAAGTCTTCTAGAAACACTTTGGAATAAAGCAATTTGAAACCAACTCAAAAGATCACCCATGGCACTTTAAGATGAGATTTCACATTTTCAAAGTCTCACTTTGCCAATAAAAGTGCTAATAAAAGGGAAAAAAAAGCCCTACCCTCCACATCTACACACTCAAAACAAAACTTCAGTGTCTGTGTGCTGGATGTGCCAGTTTTCTCAGGCAGATTGTTTACCAGCCCACCCACCAAGTTCTTTGGGTTGCCTGCTCAGTAGTTCTTGTGTTGGGTATGGTTTGAGACATAACATAGACTTGCCTAGCTCCTTTTGTAACTGATAGTATGTGCATTTGCAGTATAGCTATATAGCTTTCTGGGAAGTAGGAGTGTAGTGTTGCCCTTGAAACAGTGTAAAGGTCTACATGATAATCTAACCCTTAACTTTACCCTAATCAGAATGCTACTCTAACAAACTGAGCTAATTGGCTTAGACTGAATTACAAATGTATTCTACCACTTGATGACTAGTAAAAACACTTTCACTTATAACAACCTAGTGGAATAGGTTGGACATGTATTCATGTGCCTATTTAACATATCAGAAAATAGACAAAAGGATTGACTTGTGACCTTTTCTGACTCCACATCAAGTTTTAAAATAATTTAAAAATTAATTTAGAAACATTTTAAACAGAGAACTATGCAGAATAACAGATTCCTTTGTCATATTTAAGGTTATGTTACCATTACATCTAAGTATGCAACTTTCTTACTCCAGTCTCTTCCCTTCCCAGAGATAGCCAACCATTCCAGTGTCAAAGGCATAATGTACCAGCCAATTAAGGAAATGATTTTTAGGCTATTGCAATTTGGAAGGCATCAATTAATGAGGGATGTCTCAAAAAAAATTAAAAAGGCATGGGGACCTGGGACAGGTAAGCCAGGGAATCTTAAAGATACACAGGAATGGAGTTTTATCTCCCATTGAGCCAGGGCAGAATCCTTTTCTTACCTGTTCTGCAGAACACAAAATTATGAGGGTGGATTTCTTAACTGGCACTGCTTTCCAGGAGCACATGGCTCAGGTAAAATTCAGCAGTCACCTGAAATTAGTGTATTTCATGCTCATGGATATTTCTATACTTTTATCTATGCATATATGCATCTGCAATAATACATACTGTATTGCCTTGATATGTTTTTAAATTTTATATAAATGTTATGCTTTGTGTATCTTTTTGCAACTTAAAAAAATTAAACTTGGTCAGGTTTGGGGGTGTTTTTTAGTTTTAGTTGTTGCTCGGGTTAACTGCTGAATACTTTTCCATTTAACAACTATGTTAAGTTTATTCAGTCCCCTAAAAAAAGGTTTGGCCAACTTTTTGCCTTTTTATCTTGTTTTTGTCTACTTAAACTGTTTTGCAATAGATGGTTTCCATTTTTATATATCACTATGTATTGCTTCCCTAGCCCTGGTGAGTGTCAATTTAGTGTATATCTACAAACAGAAGTCCTGGTTTTGGAGACCATGCATATGTATTTTTTATTGTATTGGGTTGGCCAAAAAGTTCATTTGTTTTTGACCATAAGATGGCTCTAGTAGTGTTTAGTAGTCTTTAACTTCATTTGAAACAATTTTGTTAGATTGTATTGTGACAGCTGTCATATCAGCATGCATTTAAAAATTTTACAAAATTGGCAAATTTTTGTGTAGCCATTTTAATTTTGAAGATGAAAGAAAATAGGTAACATTTTGGCATATTGTACTTTTATTATTTCAAGAAAGGTAAAAATGCAACTAAAATGCAAATTAAGATGTGTGCAGCGTATGGAGAAAGTGCTGTGACTGACTGAATGTGTCAAAAATGGTTGGCAAAGTTACGTGCTGGACATTTCTCACTGGATGATGCTCCATGGTTGGGTAGACCACTTGAAGCTGATAGCAATCAAATCAAGACATTAATTGAGAACAATCAAAGTCCTACCATGGGGGAGATAGCTGATATAATCAAAATATCCAAATCAATAAAGTTATTGGTAAAAATGAAAAATGTGTCTTTTATTTTATGGAAAAAAACCATACAGACTTTTTGGCCAACCCAGTACCAGCAGTGGTTATAATTTGCATCCATCCATCCCCTCATCTACATTTAGGAGCCTGTTTCTCCATTTCTCTTCATCATTTGCTATTATGAGACTTAAAACCTTTGCCAATCCGATGGGTTTGAAATGTTTTCTTATTCTTTAATTTGCATTTCTCTGATTAGTACCAGTTGAGTATCTTCATGTGTTTATTGAAGTTTATGTTTTTACATACATGTGCATTCAGTGAACTTGACATTTTGTAAATATATTATTTATCGTGTCTTCATCTAAGATAATTGTGGAGCCATCAAATAAATCCGGAGTTTAAAAAAAATCAACAAGTATGTGATTGTCAAGCCCAGAATTACATACAGAAGACTAATTCTACTCTCTTTTAGCACCTGGTTTCTTTTCAAGCCTCTCAAGCTGCTAAGTAAGGAAAGTTCAGTACTTTCTCTTAATTCTAGACACCTGGTAGTGGTAGAATGCTGAGTAATCTAGGATAGAGTTCCATTTTTTCCAAGGACCCTGAGTGTTAACATTCTTTACTTTATATTTACACTTTTCTTTTTCCTAGGTGGTTCATCTAGCCTAAATGTTAAAACACACACACACACACACACACACACACACACACACACACAGAGGCTATGTAGGAACTCTGTGCTCAGTTTTACTGTGAAGTTAAAAGGTCTCTGAAAAATAGTCTATTAACAACAACAACAACAAAAAACCCCAAACAAAACAAATAACCGTGACTATTTTTTATAAATAGAATTAGTTTAAATCAAAAGTGTTTAACTTAATATAAGACTGTAAACATTTGTGTGTTTATAATAAGTAACTATATTTTCTTCCATTAAGATACTTTGGGATGAACACCATATTTGAAATTTAAAAAAAAAACTTGAAACTTTTGAAAAACGATTTTTTAAAAAAGATTTTAGTTATTTTTAGAGAGAGGGGAACAGAGAGAGAAAAAGAGGGAGAGAATCATCAATGTGTGAGAGATACATCGATCAGTTGCCTCTTGCATGCCCCCAACTGGGGATTTGGCCCACAAC